GTAATTCCAGCTACTTGGAAGGCTGAGGTGGAAGGATCCCCTGAGCCCAGCAGGTCGAGGGTGCGGTGGCCGTGAGTGTGCCACTGCACTCCAGCCCGTGGGACAGAGTGAGACTCTGACTCAAAAAAAAAAAAAATAGTCCTATCTCTACTTAGGAATTTTCTGAAAGGGATAATCCCCACTTCGTCAGGATTTCATCCTCTTTAATCCTAAATGTTCTCATCTTTAAATAAAGATCCTCATAAAAAGAGTCATCCTAGAGTTGTAGTGACAACAAGAAACTGAAAAAATGTATTATAAAAGGTCTAATCTGTAAGACGCAAAGTAGTATTAGCATTGGATTGTTTACTGTCAGCTCCTGGAGGGCTGAGTGTTTGTTTTGTTCATTTCAGCTTCCCAGCCAGTATCAGCTGGGTGGTCACTCCAGGGGACACTATTAATCTTATATTTAACTGGAAGAATTGCCATTCACAGGAAATGCAATGTAAATGGTGTTCCCTTGACACCACTCACAGAAATGCAAAGTGGATGGTGCCTCCAGGAGGTATCAGCAAGGCCCTAGAGCTAAGGGCTCAGAAGTGTTACTGAGTCAGTGAATGAAGTCAGGTGTTACCTCATGCTCATTTCACACCCCCCCAGGATAAAAAGGGAACGTAGACAAGGGGAGAAGAAAGTAGGAGGGAAAATGTGATCATTAGCTGCAAGGTCTCAGGGCTTCAATGATATTGGGAGTGGGTGGGTGCTGGTAATAGTGCAGGGAATTGGGGATACTAGGCAAGGGTTCTCCTTCTATTTTTCTTGAAATATTACATCTCTCCTAGCTTGGCTGGTGATTTAACAGCCCTGAATTTGAAAAGTTCTTATATTATGTTGTTCATTCATAAAACACAAACAAAAAAAACGGCACAAATGCTGGAGGCAGAGTAGTGAACAGGACAGCACAGGTCCTCACCCCTCAGGGAACACAGACTATTGTGTATTATATCACCCTCGAGGTGTGAACAATCACTCTCAGGACGTGGTACTTAAATCGAGACTGGAAGAATAAGCAGGAGAAAGTCATAAGGACCAGGCAACATCAGGAAGCTTGAGGGACATGACCCTTGGAAATGGGTGTGGAAGGCAGCTATGCTCACCACTAGAAATGGGTGTGGACACCTGCAATCCCAGCACTTTGGGAGGCGGAGGTGAGAGGAGTGCTTGAGCTCAGGGTTCGAGACCAGTCCTGGAGAGACGTCTCTACAACAAATAAAAAAGCAGTCGACGTGGTAGCGCGCGTGTAGTTCCGGCTCCTTGGAAGGCTGAGGCGGGAAGGATCGCCGGAGCCCAGCAGGTCGACGCTGGGGTGGCCGGGAGTGTGCCATTGCACTTAAGCTTGGGCGTTGGAGTGAGACTCCAGTTCAAAAAGTAAAGAAGAAAAGCGGTCTGGTGAAATTTGAATTTTTGAAAATGAAGCACGGGTTGGATGGGGGCAAAAGTAGAGGCAGGGAGGCCCGTTAAGAGGCTACTGAGGCTGTCTTGGTGACAGATGATGACGTCTTTAACCTGGGTGGTGCCAAAGAAGATGAAGAGAAGTGGACAATTCCAGGGGCATTTAGGAAGTAAAACTCGACAGGGCTGGTAACAGTAAATAGCCCACCTCAAAGAAGACGCTGGCCGGGCGCGGTGGCTTACGCCTGTAATCCCAGCATTTTGGGAGGCGGAGGCGAGAAGTTTGCCTGAGTTCAAGGGTTCGAGACCAGCCTGGGCAACATGGCGAGACCTCGTCTCTACGATAAATAAAATAAATTAGCCGGGCGTGGTGGCACATGCCTATGGTTCCAGCAATTTGGAAGGCTGAGACGGAAGGATCATCTGAGCCCAGTAGGTTGAATCTGTGGTGGCCGTGAGCGTGAGACTCCGACTCAAAAAAAAAAAAGACTCCGGAGAATAAAACACACATTAATTTGCTCATTAGCCCACCAGGTGCCCCCGCTCCTTAACCCTGTCGCCTCAAGATTGCAGCGCGGGGCGAGGGGCGGAGCAGGCGCCCACAGAAATCCGGGAACTTTAAATTGGGTGGACGTCAGCGGAGAGGAGAATTACGAACACAGGAATTTCCGGTTACTCCGGAAGTGGAAGGTTCACAATTTCCTAAGCTCCTCCCACGGCGGCGAGCTAGGGTGAAGGGATGGCCGGGCGGGCGTCGCGGTTATTGCTGCTGGCTGGGGCCGCCGCGCTGGCGAGTGGTTCCCAGGGAGATCGCGAGCCGGTGTATCGCGAGTGCGTACTCCAGTGCGAAGAGCGGAACTGCTCGGGGGGCGCTCTGAAGCACTTCCGCTCCCGCCAGCCAATCTACATGAGCCTAGCAGGTAAGCCCCGCCCTACGGAAAACCCCGCCCATCTATCTTGGCCCCGCCCCTTGAGGCCCAAAGACTCCTCTGCGATTTCTGTACTTTAGTTTCCTAACGGCGTCTCTTAAGAGTGTGAATGAGTGGAGCCTTCAAGGTGGTGAGCGCCTCATCAGCCTGACTTACTTTCCCACAGTTTGCATTTGCTTTTTATTTATTCAATCAAAGAGTATCTTTTTAAAAAATTGTTTTCGTACAACTGGGGTGTTACTATGTTGCTCAGGCTGGTCTTGAACATGTGGGCTCGGGAATCACCACCTTTTTTTTTTGGAGTTGGAGTCTCACTTTGTCGCCTAGGCTAGAGTGCAGTGGCATGGTCTCGGCCACTGCAGCCTCGACTTGCTGGGCTCAGGTGATCCTTCCGCCTCAGGCTTCCAAGTAGCTGGAACTATAGGTGCCGGCCACCATGCCTGGCTAATTTGTTTGATTTATTGTAGAGATGAGATTTCGCAAAGTTGCCCAGACTAGTCTCGAACCCGTGAACTCAGGCAGTCCTCTCACCTTGGCCTCCCAAAGTGCTGGGATTATAGGCATGAACCACTGTGCTGGTCAATCACCACATTTTGAAGTAGTTTCTCTAATTCCAGTTTTACAAATGGAGAAACTTCAGAGAGGTTAATTGTGTTGCCCAAAGTCACACAGCCAGTAAATGGTAAAGTAGAGTTTCCAGTTCTGGCCTGTTTCACCACAAGCTTGCCGTCTTTATTACCACTTTGCATTCCAGACAGAGGAAACAGAGAGAGTGAATACCCTGGGCAGATGTGGGCAAATTCAGCAACTTGGTTTACTCTGGGAACAGGGTGTGTGAAAGGGAGGGGTGGCCAATGAAATTGGGAAGGTAATTTGGAGTCTCAAAAGTTGGGCTGGGCTGGGCTGGGTGGCTTATACCTGTAATTCCAGCACTTTGGGAGTCTGAGTTGTGAGGATTGCTTGAGCCCAGAAGTTTGAGACCAGTCTAGGTAACATAGTGAGACCTCGTCTCTAAAAAAATTTGTTTTTAATTAAGGAGGCCAGGCATGGTGGCGCCTGTAATCCTAACACTTTGGGAGGTGGAGGCAAGAGGATTTCCTGAGCCCAGGGGTTTGAAACCAGCTTGGACAACTTGGAGAGACCTTGTCTCTACAATAAATCAAAAAATTAGCCGGGCGTGGTGGTGTGGGCAGAGTGGTGCAGGCCTGTAGTCCTGCTGCTTGGAAGGCTGAGGCAGGCAGAAGACTTGGCTAAGTCCTGCAGTTAGAAGGCTGTGGTGGCTATGAGCATGCCACCCCACTCCAGCTTGGGTGACAAAGTGAGACTCCAATTCAAAAAAAAATCAGGCTGAAGAATTTGGACTTCATTTTCTTTTTCTTTTTTATTTTTTTTCTCTTTTTTTACGTTGGAATCTCACTCTGTCGCCCAGACTGGAGTGCAGTGGCCGCTCCCGGCCACCACAGCCTTGACCTGCTGGGCTCCAGCGATCCTTCTGCCTCAGCCTTCCAGGTAGCCGGAATTACAGGCGCGCGCTACCACGCCCAGCTGATTTTTTGATTTATTGTAGAGATGAGGTCTCGCTGCCCAGGCGGGTCTCGAACCCGCGGGCTCAGGCAATCCACTCACCTCAGCCTCCCAAAGGCGCGGGATTACAGGCTGAGCCACCGAACCCGGCTGTGCTTCATTTTCATAGGGAGTGGTCAGACAGCAAGGACTCCTTTCTGATGAATAAGAGTAAATATAAATCCTGTGTTCAGGAAGGACAAACGTAAACCCAGGTTTCCATAGATGAGTCCATCAGATGCCAAGATTCCTATCTTGGGCAAAAGGAGAAGAGAAGAAAAGCCTCTGTTTGCTCATTGTATGCTCCCTCCCCTAAAAGACACTTACATACATGCATCCCTCTCCCTGTGTGTCCCCTACCATCTGTCATCTGTCCAAGGGGGAAGCTAGAATTTTGAGATGCCTTCTGATTCTCTCTAACCTGTAGGCACTCTTGGCCTGTATTTGAGCTAGGGCCCTATTCAGGCACTCTCCGTGCTGCTCTGTGTCGGGGAGTTCACCAGGCCACATTTGTCTGTTTCAGGCTGGACCTGCAGGGACGACTGTAAGTATGAGTGCATGTGGGTCACCGTTGGCCTCTACCTCCAGGAAGGTCACCAAGTGCCTCAGTTCCATGGCAAGGTGAGTTGGAGGGTCAGGCAGGTATATGGTGGGAGTGTGATGGGAGTAAGATGCCCCCCAAGTTGGTCCAGGCAATCTGAGGTATGGGGCGATGGCTGTGTATTTGGGGCAGGTACCTGTTCTTCTCAAAAGCTGCTGGGTTTGGCCAGGTGTGGTGGCTCATGCCTGTAATAAAATGAAAAAATTAACTGAGTGTGGTGGTGCGCACCAGTAGTTCCAGCTACCTGGAAAGCTGGAGCGGAAGGATCGCCTGAGCCCAGCAGGTCAAATCTGTGGTGGCTGTGAGCATGCCACTGCATTCCAGCCTGGGCGACAGAGTGAGATTCCAACTTAAAAAAAAAAAAAAATCTGCTGGGTTTCACAGAATCAGGTAGACCAACTTGTCCTGCTTCTGGATTTGGAATAACAAGACTGGGAGGCTTTGGAGTCTTCCCAGGATGTGGTGCTGGGTGGTTGAGATGCTCATGTTGCTACAGGAGGAAATTCTGTGACCCACTGTGGCGTATTTCCCATTGTTTCTTTTTTATTGTTTTTTATTGTTTTGTTTATTTTTTGAGTTGGAGTCTCACTCTGTTGCCCAGACTGGAGTGCAGTGGCTGCTCCCGGCCACCGCAGCCTCGACCTGCTGGGCTCCGGCAATCCTTCCGCCTCAGCCTTCCAAGTAGCTGGAACTACAGGCATGCGCTACCATGCCCAGCTAATTTTTGATTTATTGTAGAGATGAGGTCTCACCAAGTTGCCCAGGTGGGTCTCGAACCCGGGGTCTTAGACAATTCACTCACCTCAGCCTCCCAAAGGCACGGGATTACAGGCTGAGCCACCGAGCCCGGCTTTATTGTTGTTGTTGTTTTTTTTTTGAGTCAAAGTCTCACTCTGTTGCCCAGGCTGCAGTGCAGTGGCACACTCACAGCCACTGCAGCTACTACACCTGGCTTATTTTTTGATTTATTGTAGAGACGAGGTCTTACCAAGTTGCCCAGGCTGGTCACGAACCTCTGAGCTCAGGCAATCCTCTCACCTTGGCCTCCCAAAGTGCTGAGATTACAGGCTTGAGCCACCATGCCTGGCCTCCATTGTTTCTTTAATAGGGGTTTGGATTAGTAGTAATCCTCCTCAGATTGTCCAGCGAGACAGGCGGGTGATGCCTTTTAGTCCAGTATTATCTCATTCTAGCCTGTTGATGTTGTCAGGAGTTCTTCTCCCCAGTGTTCCACAGAGTGCTCTGAGGCTCAGAGGCTCATGGTTGGTAGTCGAGGACCTTTGTCTTCTGGATGATAGGTCTTTGCTGCTTCTACCAGGCCATACCAAGCCATCTACACTGGCCCATCAGGTCTGCCCAACGATCAGGGCTTACAGTGCTGTGTGTACTGCCAGGAGAGGGGCTATGACCCTTAACCTGGCCTGGAGAGAGGCTAAACCTGAGGCTCTGGCCAAAGTCCAGAGCTGAGAAGCCAGCTGGGGACTGTGGATGCAGCATATCAGGGAAAGGCTGACTGGGCCAGGTGGGGGGATCCTGCCCTCAAGTCCCCTTCCTCTGCTCTTTTTCAGTGGCCTTTCTCCCGGTTCCTGTTCTTTCAAGAGCCTGCCTCTGCCGTGGCCTCATTTCTCAATGGCCTGGCCAGCCTAGTGATGCTTTGCCGCTACCGCACCTCCGTGCCCGCCTCCTCGCCCATGTACCACACCTGTGTGGCCTTTGCCTGGGTAGGTCACCCGGCAGTACTCCTGCTGCATCCCCTCCTCTGGGAAGGAGGGACTCTTAGATTCCTCCTGACACCCAACTGGGCTTCTTCCGCCGCCCAGCTTCCCTTCTGTTTTCCAGGGCTGACGTTGCAGTTACAGGTGGTCAGACCTGGGGAGAAACCAGGGAGGGTGCTGAATCAGGCCTTGCCTTTCTTTTCTTTTTTTTTTTTCAGTCAGAGTCTTACTCTGTCACCCACGCTGGAGTGTAGTGGCACAATCACAGCTACTGGAACTACAGGTGCACGCAACCATGCCAGGCTAATTGTTTTATTTATTGTAGAGACGAGGTCTCACCATGTTGCTCAGGCTGGTCTCGAATTCATGGACTCAGGCAATTCTCTCGCCTCCACCTCCTAAAGTGTTGAGATAACAGTCGTGAGCCACCACACCCCACCTCAGGCCTTACCTTTCTAGCAGAATATAAGGCCAGGCTACCTGGGAAGGACAGAGGAAGGAAACATTTTTTTTTCTTGTCCTGATGGAGAAAGCCACTGAAAGACCCAGGAGGAACTGGGCTCGGTGGCTCAGCCTGTAATCCCGCGCCTTTGGGAGGCTGAGGTGAGTGGCTTGCCTGAGCCCGCGGGTTCGAGACCCGCCTGGGCAGGCGAGACCTCATCTCTACAATAAATAAAAAAATCAGCTGGGCGTGGTAGCGCATGCCTGTAATTCCGGCTACTTGGAAGGCTGAGGCGGAAGGATCGCCGGAGCCCAGGAGGTCGAGGCTGCGGTGGCCGGGAGCGGCCACTGCACTCCAGTCTGGGCGACACAGTGAGACTCCGACTCAAAAAAAAAAAAAGAAAGACCCAGGAGGGCAGTTTATAAGGCCAGGAGGGAGGAGATGGGTGGTGGAGACACTGCTGGGACCACGAGTCTTTCCCAGGATGCCTCTGGAGGACTTGGAGCCATCCCAGTCCCAGCTGAGGCCTGGGAAGCGGTAGCAGCACAGAGCTCTGTCTAGAGCTCAGCCAATCCTAGACCATCCCTGGAGAAGCCAAGGTGTGGATCCATCTGAGTGTCTAGAAAGGGCCCTCAACTTCACATCATGGCTGGTATGAGGAACCAGTATCCAGGGCCTCGAATTGCATGAGAAGCTCGCACTGGGGTACAGATGTGGACTGCAGCCTCGGGGAGAGTATGGGAGTAAGAGATTATGACTGGGCATGGTGACTCGCACATGTAATTCCAGCACTTTAGGAGGCCAAGACGAGAGGATCGCTTGAGCCCAAGAGTTCAAGACCAGCCTGAGAAACGTAATAAGACCTTGTCTTTAGAAAAAAATTTTAATTAGCCAAATGTGGTGGCGCATGCTGGTAGTCTCAGCTACTCTGGAGGCTGAGGCAGAAGGATTGCTTGAGCCTAGGAATCAGGGTTGCAGTGGGTATGATCACACCACTGTACTCCAACCTGGGCAACAGAGCGAGACTCTCTCTTTTTTTTTT